AAGGAAGATTGGAACAAAAAGATGATTGTGATAGCGAAGAAGAAAGTAAGTGATTGGAAGAGGATCCTTAATGATGTTATGAATAGAATTCCAACTGTGGAATCAGTTGTGCTTATCCCTTTCAATGATAGTAAAGTTGTGTTGGATTTAGGAAAGTTTAAGGCAGAGGTCATGAATGTTGGTGAAACGTTGAAAGGTTCGTTAACGGGGGCAAACTGGACACGTTCTTGCCATGAAATCTCAATCCCTGAGGGAAGTGTGATTTTTAAGATGTTTGGACTACCTTTCAGTTAGAGGATGGATCACATCTTCAATGGTTTAGCAGCTATGTGTGGAGGAGTTTTAAAAGATTTTTATATTGTGGATCTTCATGTGGTAAAGATCAAAATTACTGGTTCTAACCGGATAGGACTCCCCACTTGATTGATATCTTCGCTGTACGGAGATGGTGGAAGCTCTGGGTGGCATCGGAAGCTGAAGCATTTCTATGGCCTGGGAGAAAAGAGTTTGAAGATAGTGTCGGTAGGGTTTGGAGGAATCCATGTGGCATAAGCAGATCAGAAGGAATGAGGAAAGGGGGATATTGAAGGGGCCTTGGGTGTTAAAAGTTCGAGGCCGAATAAATCATCTGGTGTTTCTTTGAAAAAAAGGTTTGTATACTACTAATCTCAAGAAACAGGAGCTTGGAGAGAGAGAGTGAGAGAGAAGAAGAAGAAGAAGAAGGCAAACAGGTGTTTTGGGAAAAGAAGGTCATTAACAACTGGTTGGGCTTGTTCTTATTCGCCCAACACGTGATTCTCTTGGAGAGCATGTGGGCATAAAAGATGGCAACAATATGGGCACGAAACAAATAACTTTAGGCAGGAATATAATAGTGGGGTGGGCCCAAGAGATTCGAGTCAATTAGAATTGGACCGAAGGGTGGGTCCATTAATGCAGTTGGTTTGGTCCAAGATTTAAAGTTTTCCTAGGTCGAGCTGATTGCAGGACACAATTTATTTAAGTCAAGTAGTTCGACTCTGAGGCAAGAAACGATGGAAGAAGTTGAGATCCCTGATGATTGATCAGGTGTTTCAAAGTCTGAAGAGTAATTGATATAGAAGGAGGTTATAGAAGAGGTGGTTTGTGATGCCAAAGGTTTCATCTAGAGAATGGAAAAATTCTTCCCTAAAAGTAAGGAGAACTCAACGACTATACAAAAGGATGATAGGGGTGAAAAGTGGTATGTTGAAGAGAAGGGAGAGGCTCAGGTGGATTTTGAAGTTAGTTTTCTCCAACAAAAAAAGGGGAGGACAAGGAAGACAATTTGGATGCCACTAACAATAGGTGATATGTTTTGGAAGCAATTGAGGGAGAGGATTGGGGAGAGCAAAGAGTGGTAGTGAAAGAAGAGAATGGTGGAGAGGAAATTATGACTTTACTAGGAAGAAATGAAAATAGAGTCAAATAAGAGGGGAGAGCAATCAAGCAGATGAGGTAATTGGGGCTGTAGGGGCGAAGGAAATGAGAGATGCGGAAGAGTTAGTGGGAAAAAGAGGAGAAGGAGATAAAGGTTTAGTAGAGGAGAATGGAGGGGAGAAAGATTGAGTGAGGGGAAAGAGAGGGTGAAGGGGGTAAGATTGGGGATGGGATTAGAACATACATAAGGAAAAAGTATAGATATTTTTCCCTACAAGAAAACAGAGAGGGGGGTCGAAAGAAGATTTAGGGGAGGATAGTGAATATGAACCGATGTTGGATGAGATCCATGAGGTAGAGAAGATTCGTGACTTCGAGAAAGTGGTGAATGGGGGAGTAGAAGTCAGCAAAATTCTGGGTCTATTTTCCCTAGGAGGGGAGAAGCTTGCGAAAGAAGTCTTCAGGTCTATGGAGGAAAGGATTGGGAAGAAAGAGAGTATTGTTGCTCCAGGGGTTCACTGCAATTCCAGTAACTCAATAATTCAAGAGAGGAAAGCGTCTGTTGAGGTTGCGGGGATCTTATCAAGAAGCCAAAAGAAGATTTTGAGGGGGCGGTGGGTTCAGATAGGGGTCAGAAGTCTGTGGGGAAGTTGGAAGAAGCTGAAGGAACTCCAAATACAATTAGAAGATTCAGAACTCAAAAGCATAGAAAAAGTCAGCAGAAGATCCCAGTTTCTAAGGTTTTTGCATGGATAAAAAGGAGGTTTGTTTGGCATTGAGCCTACAAGCTCGTCAAAAAGCCCAAAAGATCAATCAGAAGACAACAAGAAGATTGCTCTAAAAAAATGATAATAAGAGTTATTGATCGGGAGTCCCTTGTGGAGTTGGGTGCTTGGTTTGGGTCTCTTGTGGTGTGGGTGTCGGTTTGCTTTTTGGTCTGGGTTTTGTTTCCGTTTGTTGTTCTTGTTTTCACTTTTTGTTTTTGGTTTTCTAAGGATTTTTTATGTAGTTGGGTTGGTTCTGTTTGTTTGTGTCTTTGTCTACTTCGTTTGGGTTCTCTTTAGGTTGTTGTTTCCTCTCAGGTGATTGCTTATCACCTTCCTTGTATCTTGTTTTTTGTTTAATAAAATTTTTTATCTTCAAAAAAAAAAAAACTTATTTCCACCACCAGCTTCATACCTGTCTGACATATTCTCATTCGCATCAGACTCAACATCCTTCTACCACACAAAACTCTGTTACTCTCCACACAAAACTGTCTACAAAGGCCGACAATTATTTAATTACCTTCTTCACTTGTTCTATTTTTCACTGCCTCCCCTGTTGAAGTTCCCCCATCTCTGAAGAAGACGAAGATAGACCCATTTAGGTCGATCAACTACCTTACCTCTTTCAACATTACATGCTCCATAAAGGAGTCATGTCACTCAATAGATTTAAGCCTAAAACAACTTGACCTAGCTGGCACCACTGACATGCTTATTAACAGGGTCAAGCTTCCGATCTTCCATGGGCCCAATGACCATTCTATTATTTCTCCATATACCATCCACCTTACCCTCCCCCACATGACCACTTGAGCTTTTTTTATCAGCAACACAGAAAAGATTCATTAATTCAAAAATCATGTAAAACAAGAAGTTGTGGGCAGACAAGAAGTCCAAAGTATCCCACTAATTACATCACAGCCCCAAACATAGCCCAGAGGACAATTCCTTTAATTACATCACAGTCCCAAAGGTAACCAATAAAGAAAATCCCACTAACTACAACATAGCCCAGAATATAGATTGTCTTTGAACTCCTTGCTTAGCTAGACCATCAGACATGTAGTTAGCTGACCTTCAAATCCATCTTATTTGAATCATCATGCCTTTAGAAGCCTGCTTGAAGTGTCTGAGCTCATTCCTTAGCTGCCAAGTTATCCCCCCCCC